AAAGGGGCGAGTTCTAAAGAATACGCCGCGTGAGGGAGAATTTCCTGGCCTTCCTAGACTTTCAAAGTTATTTTCGCTGTATGCAACATCTCATTGTCGTGCAACACAATCACTCTGCACATGTAGAACGATCTACTTTTTGACACCTATTAAGCTTATAGACGTTTCAAATTGGTTTGTTAGGTCATTGCAAATGCATTTGCAATCTTTGATTGAGAATTTTCTTCTAAAAGCTCTTCCAATTCTTCGTTTTCAATTTTCTTCGGTTATCTAGGGCATTTTTCATCCTAGATATTGAAATTGCCATACTGAAACTTTTGAAACAACTTTTTATACATGCTATAAAACAGTATTTTCATTTAAGGCTAAGCAAATCATATCCTTAATCTCACATGCATTTTTCTTGAGTTGGAATGTGATAAAGAAGCAGTGCCTTAAATATTGCTTTTCGAAAATTACATCGCTTTCGGTATTATTATTTGAGATTATATCAGCAGCACCGTCAACTATCATACCTCGTTTTAAAGCTTAAAGGTGGCACTTTGAGACAACTATACAGCGAGAAGAAAATTAAATTTGGAAAAATTATAACGACCAAAATCTGCAGAATCAGTTCTGGTCGGACGATTCATGCGGATAATGTTCGCCGGAGTCTAGGTTCGGTAGAAAGAGACAATAACTCGCTTATGTACAGATAACAAAAGATGTTTATTTGAAAGAAGCCAATATACAATGAGGCGGCCTTGTTTGCATTGTCAAGCAGTGTTACATTCCAACCGTTCGAAATGTAATGATTGTAATAGTTACTTCGTGAATTGGGGAAAGAGAGAAAAAGAGAAAGAGAGAGAGAGAGAGAGAGAGAGAGAAAGAGAGAGAGAGAGAGAGAGAGAGAGAGAGAGAGAGAGAGAGAGAGAGAGAGAGAGAGAGAGAGAGAGAGAGAGAGAGAGAGAGAGAGAGACTATTTATAGCTTGAAGAGTTTATTCGAAAATATACAGAGTGTACGATAATTAGCTGCCAACCCAAAGTGTAAAGGGTGTACAAATAAATTTTAAAGCGTTTTTAAGACAATGCAAAACGTATTTGAGAAAAAAGAACAATACATTTATTAATCAGAATATGCGCCGTCATTTCATCAATTTCCAATTTTATTGGAAAATGTTTCGGGCGAAAGTTACATAGCTTGAAGAGAGACATATAATGGAAATATGGACTTGACCTTGAATGATCTTGTCAAAGTCAGGTCAAGGTCATTAATATTTCTTTAAATGGAACACCCTATTTTTCATTATATATTCTTGTAGCTTACATCGAAAGCTTTTAAAAATGCTATAATAAAGTTATTTTTTGTTCAATACTTTCCGAGTTATGGAACTTGAAAGTTACAGTACCACGGGCATTAGCGATATCTAATAAAAGAGCCACAAAAAGTGACCCCTCACCGATTTCAATGTATTTGGACTTTATCGATAGGTTATGTCAAGGTATGAAACTCCATAAAGGCCTTTATCTCGGAAACGTTTTGTTCGGGAGAGAGAAGCAGAAAACCGTTGAAGAGTAATAGGTCTAAAAACGAAATGACTATTTCTCCTCTGACAAACGCAGAAACATATTTTTTCTTTAAGTTTTCGACCTGCTGAACACGATGATGCTATTAGAATCCTCCGGAAACCCCGAGAAAGTTGTATTTTTGACATTGTGTTTATATTAGTGGGTTATCTATATTTCCAAAAGTTGATTTGCCTACGTCAGTTAAAAACATTTGAATCGGTTTGAAAATGACTACATAGGAATTTTCGAAGTCACTGATTACAAATCTGCAGTCAGAATTTCTAATTCCAAAATGACGGATCCAATATGGCGGCCGCAAACATTTACTGTCCGTTTATCAATGAAGTGTCTGAAAAGTACTTGATCAGCTTAAAACTGACTACTTGGGGATTTTTGGGTTGGTGATTACATATTTGCAGTCAGAATCATACAAAAATCAAATTAGAAAATCAAATAAAAAAGAATAAAAAAAATCAAATTAAAAGAAAATCGAAAAACGGAACTAACAAAAAAATTAACATAACTCAAAAGCGACTTTAATGAGTTGCTGGTAAATGCAGGACCACTTACTATGACACTATTTTTTACTTCGACTCTGCTACGAAGAAGTTGGCAAGGTAAGTATTATAATGTTTATATTATTAGGCGTGTGAATTATTTCGGTCCGTTTTTCTTCCAAAAGAAGACTTTAGTATAGAAAAACATGAAAAAGTACACTAATCAAAGTATTTGCTATCGCTTGTTATTATTTTTTCCCATCTGTCTGGCAGTTGTTGCATTCCGTGACGGAAAAACTCGTGACTCGTCCTTCGAAGCGATCCATTCATTGAGCCATTTCTCTATTTTTGGATAATTATTGAAGTGCTGGTCCGAAAACCCGTGTGCTATCGATCTGAACAAGTGATAATCGGATGGAGCAATGTCTGCTGAATACGGCGGGTGAGGTAAAACATCCCAGCCAAGTGCTTCCAAAGTGGCCTTCACAATCTTTCCAACATATCGCCGAGCGTTATCGTGCTGGAAGGTCACCTTGTCGTGTCTCTTTATATATTCTGGCTGCTTATTCTTCAATGCGTTGTTTAAACGGATCAATTGTTGTTGGTAAAGTTCGGTAGTGATGGTTTGGCTCTATTTTAATAGTTCATGATACACTACACCCTTCTGATCCCATCATATACGGAGCATTACTTTCTTGCCGTGAATATTCCGCTTTGATATCGATGTAGATGGTTTTCCTGGGTCGCTAATGGATTTCATTCGTTTGGGATTATAAATATATTCACTTTTCGTCTCCAGTCATAATACGATGCAAAAAACTTTTTCTTTTTTGCCTGGCAAGCAAGATTTCAGACATGGCTTTTCACCTCTCAACGTCTCTTTCTTTCAGTTCGTATGGCACCCACCTTCCTTCTTTGTAAATCTTTCCCATGGCTGCCAAACGCACAGAAATTGCTGATCGATCAACATTCAACAATTGCGCGAGCTCATGTTGCGATTGACACGGATCTTCATCGATTAGCGCCTGCAATTCCTCGTCCTCGAACTTCTTCGGCTGACCTGGACGAGGTTTGTCATCGATATTGAAATCATCACTTTTGAAACGTCGAAACCATTCTCTGCATGATTTATCGGTGGGAGCACTTTCACCATAAGCTTCCACGAGCATTCGATGAGCTTCAGCGGCTGTTTTCTTCAAATGAAAACAGAAAATGAGAACTTCCCGGAAATGATGCTTTTTTGCTCGAATTTCGACATTTTCGAATCAGATAAACAAGATGTTATTATTACAAACCCAAACGTTTATCAACTGAATATTATTGCTAGATATCAAAATTAAAAAATAAAGCCTTTTGCAGACATTAGAGGTTAAAAAATTACATAGTACAGCAATTGACCGGCAGATGGACCGAATTAATTCATACACCTAATAAGTACAGTGTATTATTGTATACACAATTATCAGTTGACAATACTACAGTTCAACTAATTTCAGCTTATTGTACACTGTGACGCGAAGTCATGCAAAATCTTTGTTGTAATCTAACAATAAGCTTTTTATAAATAATATTTGTGTATTGTTAATAGGCCGATCTTTTCAGACACTTCATTGATAAACGGACAATAAGTATTTGCGGCCGCCATATTGGATCCGTCATTTTGGAATTAGAAATTCTGACTGCAGATTTGTAATCAGTGACCTCGAAAACTCCTATGTAGTCATTTTCAGACTGATTCAAATTTTTTTAACTGACGTAGGCAAATCAACTTTTGGAAATTGTAGATAACCCACTAATATAAACACAATTTCAAAAACACAACTTTCCCGGGGTTTCCGGAAGATTCTAATAGCATCATCGTGTTCAGCAGGTCGAAAACTTAAAGAAAAAATATGTTTTCTGCGTTTGCCAGGACGGGGAAAAATAGTCATTTCGTTTTTAGACCTATTACTCTTCAACGGTTTTCTGTTTCTCTCTCCCGAACAAAACGTTTCCGAGACAAAGGCCTTTATGGGGTTTCATACCTCGACATAACCTATCGATAGAGCCCAAATACATTGAAATCGGTGAGGGATCACTTCTTGCAGTTCCCTTGTAAGATGTACACATGCGTATATGTGCGGGGGTTTTATGCGCACGTGTCTTCGCGATCTATCCGCACTGCTTCACATACGCGCACGGAATTGAGTCCAATCTTGCCCAATTAAACGACTCAACTTTTCTCTTTTCTTCCTATAGCTTTTTCATTTAATTTTTCATACATAAAAGAGCTATTTCAAAACTTTTTTCGAAATGGTCGATTACAGTTCAAATGAAATCGTTGATATTATTCTCGTGCTTGGTAAAGCTGGACGAAATTATTGTAGAGAAAGGTTGTATCGTAAAAAAATTGAGGAACAATTAAGGAGCGCTTGCGACAAATAAATTTCTTATACGAAACTTTACAAACCAGAATTAACATAGTCAATCATTTATGGCCTTCTCACTTTATATTGCACATATTTTCTTTCTAGATTGAGCCGCGTTGTTACCTTTATGATAACAATAAAGCACCGAAAATAATGTGTCGATAATGCACTTTATTTTTTTTTACCTTCAAATTTATGCAAAAAACATAATAAACGCAATCAATTTTTGTATGTCTTTTCTTATTAATATGCTGAAATGTTAACTTTTAGATTACATATGAAATTGACACGAGGTATATGCACATTCAACATGGTGTTATGCTATCTATTGGGAAAACGAGAGAACATATTGAGTTGATCAATAAGATAAGGCAGATATCTTTTTTCTGGAATTTTTAGCATTGATTGATTTTTATAGTAGAAGGCTATCAAAAAAGCCTGCATAATTATTTAACTAATATTTTAATTTTAAAACAATTTGTTTTGTATTTTCTGTTAGATGAGACTTTGCAGTGTGTGTGTGTGTGTGTGTGTAAAGATTCGTACCTTGAAGAAACGCTTGCATCGTAGGACTAGGTTCCGGCGCCGGATTCAATAATTTCTGATGCTGAGAGATTGCGTCTGTGAAATTCCTCAGCTTCGTGTCCACGTTAGAAGTCGAACCTGATTTTACGACGGATCCACCTAAACCTGATCCACCCAGTAGATAGCGTTTCTTCAGTTCTAAAGAAAGTCTTGAAGCAATTCCTTCAGTGGAATGAGTACGATTCAATAAGTAATCTCCTTTCCGTGGGTTAAACAATGGCATGGGACTGCTTGTATCGATAGGTGTCGGTACAGAAATATTGCAGTTCACCTTTTTATTTAGTTCGTGCTTAGTAGAATTATTTCGCAAAAATTGCTCATCAATATTTTGCTGTTTCTGATCCTGCTTTGGATTGTCATCAATTGAAGGAATTACTTTACTTTTCACCTGCACTCTCTTCGGTTCAATGTAGGTACCCCTTGTTTTCCGTACATAAGAGTCGTTGATGGTAATTTGAGGGATTTCGTGTTGAGTTGGAGTTGCTTCATCGTGTTCAAATTCAGAATCAGTCGAGATCTCTGTTGCAGAATTTTCTGCACTTTCTTCGGTCGATATATCCTCCGACGATGCGACCTGTGAAATAAAAAATAATTGTACTAAATGAATTACTACATATTATACAGGGTGTCCCATTTTAATGTCCCACCTCAGCACCTCAATAATTCTTCAGTATTGAAGTTTCAAGGAAAATGATTTGAATAAAAGTTGTAGGGATTTAAGTGAGCTACCTCATGATGACCTTGACTTTGACCTTGACCTCTATTTTTAAGGTCATTTGAAAGTCAACTTGCGTTTTTTAAATGGGAACCCTTATTTTTTATTATACTGTTTTTTCTACTAGTTAATTTGAACAACTTTTGTCTAAAACATTTTTTTATTTGTCTAATATTTTTTGAGATATTTGAGGAAAACTTGATAACTTTTTCAATATTTAACTTACGATATCTCGCTAATTATTTGTCGGAAGAAAAAGTAGTACTAGACTTTCTTGCTTTATTTAGTCTCAAGAATATATTGTTATGATTTTTGTTAATTTGGTGATTTTGAAATTTTCAAAAATCAGTAAGTTAACAAAAGTCAAGACGCTATTGTAACAATATATTTTTGAGACTAAATAAAGCAAGAAAGTCTAGTACCACTTTTTCTTCTGACAGTTAGCGAGATATCGTAAGTCAGAGCTGGCCACGATCTACACATTTCGGGCGAAATTCAGTAGGTGACGCCTACCGTCCCCCTCGCACCGCTCCGCGCTCAGCGGCAGGGGCGATGATCGTAGTGCACTCAGGCCCGTCGCTGTATAAGAAATCAGCTGGAGCGTCACATTATCATTCAAATTGTTTCCTCGTTTAATAATCACTTAAAAATATATATTTTATGCGTTATATATGTATGTGTGTATGCGTTCATATATATAATATATATATATGTATGTATTAAACACGTAAACATATATATTTTAAAGTGATTATTAAACGAGGAAACAATTTTAATGATACCGTGACGCCGCAGCTGATTTCTTATATAGCGACGGGCCTGCACCGCGACCGTCGCCCCGGCCGCTGAGCACGGAGCGGTACGAAGGGGAGGGTAAGTGTCACTTACTGAATTTCGACCGAAATGTCCAGATCGTGGCCAGCTCTAAAGTCGTAAGTTAAATATTGAAAAAGTTTTCAAGTTTTCATCAAATATTTAAAAAAATATTAGACAAATAAAAAAATGTTTTAGACAAAAGTTATTCAAATTAACTAATAGAAAAAACAGTGTAATAAAAAATAAGAGTTTCTATTTAAAAAACGCAAGTTGACCTTCAAATGACCTTGAAAATAGAGGTCAAGGTCAAAGTCAAGGTCATCATAAGGTAGCTCACTCAAATCCCCACAACTTTTATTCAGATCATTTTCCTTGAAATCTCAATGAAGAGTTATTTGGGGTGGGACATTAAAATGGGACACCCTGTATATAAATATAATTGAAAAAGCAAATAAATTTCAATAAATTCCGAAATATCATAAAATATTAGATGAATAAAAGTTTATATCTGATTTCAATAAATGTTATTAATATTGCACAATAGCTATAATATTAAATAAAGTTTAAATATTTTATATTGCTGGAAAAGTAATATTCTTAACTATTATACTATTACGCTTCGCGCAGGCTTGGGGAAATAACAAGAAGGCAATTTATAAAAGAAGAATTTTTAATTGAACTCGCCACCTCCTCACAACTCGGAGGTCCTCTCCCGACTTTCTTTCTCCTCATTGTTAACAACAACAACCCAGCAACAGCTGACCATGCCGCCACTCGCTATTCACCTTCTGTCTAATCAATATTTCAATGCCGTAACACTACCCTCTTTCTTCAAAATTGACGTCCCGACAATTTGGGGGAACTCTTTCAAAGTCATCCAGGACGTAGACTCCAAGATACCAAAACGGCTTCCTGCTTTTCCCCCAGCTGCTGCTGCAAATAATAATGAGCACCGTTCTTCCAGGTCCCAATCTCACGTCCCAGCGAAACTGCAATTTTTGCTAAATTCTCTTCCAATCCTTTTTAAAATTACTCGTCTCTGCGTCCTCTTCGTCTCCATCTAACTTTTCTTCCGCGTTTCCTGTATTCCTTCCTCGATCTTCAGACAAGAAGGAGGAGGGATAACTACCGTGGAGCCATCGTTCTTTAAAAGAACACCTCAAGTTCCTGCCTCGACATTCGCTCAATGCTCCACGGAAAAGTCACGGTCATAAACCGTGGGGGAGGCAAGTCTTCTTGGACAAAGATGTTCGGTCCTTTTCAAAAGATCATCCTTCAATCTCCAGAGTCCAGAAAATCAACAAAAGTTGGAGAAACTATCAACAAACAAAATAAATACAAGCAAAGTATTTGCAAAAAACATTTCTTAAAATTAAAACATTAATTCAATAAAATTTCCAATTACAAAAATTCTCAATCGATAATAAGATTCAGATGGAAAAACCTCAATCTAAAGAAAATTAATCCCCATCGAAGAAAGAAACCAATCTATCTAAATGAACTATTTTATTCTTATGCTTTCTGGAACATCGAATACAATAAATTACATCATTCAATTCTTTTACGAGCTCATAAGGACCCTTGTGAAACTAGCCCCCCAACTTTTGAAAAATACAACTTTCTATACGTCATTCGTTTGCACGTTGTTTGCACATGTATGCACATCTCGTATTTTCGTTTGCACACTTTTCGTTTAAAAGTTATTCAAGAAACAATTTTGGGGTGGGGCCAACTTCACACTGGCCCCCTAACTTCCAGCAAATTAATCTTAAACCGATTAAATCGATAGATCTTTGTTTGCACATTACGAATTAAATTGACTTTTTGTTTGCACACTTCTAGTTCAAAAGTTATTTAACATTAACTTTTGGCATATCCGCTATATGATAGCCACTACTGAAAATGTGCAAAATGGATTATAATGAGCCCAATCGATAGATTTTCGTTTGCACATTACGAAACAGGTCGATTTTTCGTTTACACATCTGTAGGTCAAATATTTTTTTTAATTTAGTCAGGGGGGCTAACTTCACACATGGCAGTTTTCGCATTTTTGCAAAATTCTGACATGTGATGATGGCAATCAGAAGATCTTCGTTTGCACATTGCGAAACAAGTCGGCTTTTCGTTTGCACACCTCTAGTTCAAAAGTTATTTAACATTAACTTTTGAGATATTTCCTATACGGTAACCACCATTGCAAAATGGATTGTAATAAGAGATCTAATCGTAAAAATTGATCTAATTGTGAAAATAAATCTTTTTTTGTGCATTACCAGCTCTTAGTATTAACCGGAATCAACGACAAGGACGTGGCTGGTGTTTGATTCCATCGGGGTGCTTAATTATAGTGAGTCCCCTTGCCTCTCACTTGTGAATATGTATGTAAAAAACTTTAATAAAATAATAAAATATACAACGTCGTACGAACATTAAAATGGAATGATATTGCTTAATCATAAAAAAAGAAACATCGCTTGACATTACAAAATAAAAGCATACTTAATGAAAAATAAAAGCACATTTTCCTTTAATAATATATAAAATATATGAAACGTATATATTATAAACGTATATATCAATTTTATAAAAAATGTTTTTATGGACACTCTGTTAATTTTATGTAAGCTATGACACTTGGTTTAACTAATATGCGTGATGCTGTTGTTGCTTGTAGTGGTGTATATTTATATTTAAGATCGTCATATTCTTCCCAGGCCTCTGTTACTCTGTGGCAATAAGCAATATAATGACTTGTTTTCTGTTCATCGTCACCATTATAAGAAACTATTCCTAATAATTTGTATCTGTCATTTTTTATTTGTACATGTTTTGGTATTTCAGATAGCTGAATGTTTCTCGGTTCATCTGAAAATCCCATCACTGACAACAATGTGCTGTGATACGCATGTTCAACGTCAATTAATAAATATGCATTGGGAATGATTTCACGGGATACTTTAGTTCCGCAACGTTTGCACGGAATTTCTTTATTTGAGAAGAAAGTATCTATAGATCTTTGTAATCCACTTTGCAAACCATATTGAAGAATTGGCTTTGAGTTGATTTCTACTATCGGAATGTTATTAGTTTCCTCGTGGTGACATTCGAGACATGTGCTTTTCTGTTTAGCACTCGGTGCTTCGACTAATAACTTCGCAATTAATGTGGAGATATTGCAAATGCAATTAATAACATTATCTTCGCTATCGAATAGCGTTAATAAGTAAGAAATTCTGTCAAAGTAAATTGCGTTGTTAATACCATTGATAGCATAATTTACTACAATTTGAAAGAATATTAATTTTTTATATTCTTCATCCACTATCTGCTTATAGTTAATAGAATCTACGTATGCTGTCATTAATAATTCTGTTATTGCGTCAAAAGCACAAGTTGAAGTCATTTAAATCTTTCTTGTGCCGATTTTCATTGGTCTGAACAAAGAACCATTTTGAAGACAAATTCTTTTTTTTTTACGTAGAGGACGATTGTGAATGAAAGTTATGTCAGGACAGGCTGTTAAGTACTTTCCTCTATATTTTTTATTAACAGATTTTATTACAATATCTTCTTATATTTCTTTCGGAGGATTCAAACCATGCCAATTTTCTTCGGCATCCAAATCAGGTTGAGTCGACTTAAGTGATTACTCAGTAGATACTTTGTCAATGTCGAGAACAGAAATGTCCTGTTTTGATATGCTTGTCTTTATAAGATTGTCTTTATAAGATTGCTTTTTTTAGCAGCACGATTATCAAGAGCTGCTCGTTCAATTTTGCAGATACTTTCAATCGAGCATATGTATTTAATAATAAATTTATCTGCTCGAAGGGGCTTGCCTTCATCGCTAAGGGTAATATTCTTTATATCATTAAAATACGCTTCTGATCCAGCTGATGAAGCTACAGAATGTTTTGATTTATTAATGCGTAGCATAACATTAGTCCATAAAACATAATATATTGCGAATCGAAAAAATGGTGCAACGAATTCTGGGCAATAATATGCATTAAGATGTTGACCCGATCGTGTTTTTTGAG